TTTTCCAAGGGATTTCAGAAAAAGTTTTTCTGGTACATTCGAAGACATGGCTGGATGAGTCTTAGCATAAATCTTGAAGATTACAGTACCTTATCTTCAAAAGAAAAATTTCTCCATGCACACAAAGTGGATCCTTGAAAGACAACATCATGCCATAGAAGTCCATTTTTAACTTGTCAAACAATATTCTAACTATGAGAAATTTCAATATGCCTTTGTAGAAAGACTATACAAGTACAAATGTAAAGCCATATGCTACACAGGCTGCAATTGCATTTATTCCAAGCCAATTCCATCCTCCTCAAATTACAAAGTGACATTTTTTTCACCTCCTACTTCATTGTAATAAGTCTTTTAACCAAAAAGCAACAAAACATTTATTGCACTTTAATCATATTTTACTTAAACCGTAATTCCTTCAACTGACAACTTCCTTGATCAACACTCAGTTATAATTTAAGATGAGATCAGATTATGTTAAATCAGAATGAGTGCTAATTAATTTGAAGTAACAGTTACTTCGCAGAACTGCATGAGTCACACAAAGATGCACCATCACATCTTGCAGCTGGAATATACTGCTACACCGCTGAAAACCACACATACCCACTGGCTGCAGGGGACAGATTTAAATGCATATTCCAGCTACAAGCCACAAACGTAGACAAATTAAGTCACTCATTTAACATAGTTAAACATCTCCAGCTCAGTTCTGAAGAAGGGTCAACGGACCCAAAGTGTTGACTTTGCTTTCTCTCCACAGATGCTGCTAGACCCGCCGAGTTTCTCCGGCAACTTTTGTTTTTGTTTCAGATTTCCAGGACTCGCAGTTTTGTTGCTGGCAAGATACCATAGTTTATTTCCTATGGGAGACTACACATGCACAAAATTGACATGGACCAGGTGGATCCAAAACAACCTTCCAGGCACAGCGCTTCTCAGGCACAGAGATGCCCTTCCAGGCATTAGCTGCCTGTCCAGGCACAGGCCACCCTCTGACATGGGACCCCTGGGCGCAGAGATGCCCCCGGGCGCAGAGCTACCCCCTTCAGGCGCAGGGATGCCCCCGGGCGCAGAGCTACCCCCTTCAGGCGCAGGGATGCCCAGGATACAGGTCGCCACGGATGGGGGTGTGGTTAGAGAAGGGGATGTGGGAGAAGGGTGACAGGACGCTGGCGCGTGAACGGCTCCCTGGCGGTCTGTGAGGGAGCGCGCTCCGTGACCGCGGGCGCGAGCCAGGGACGTTAGCAGCTGCAGGGATTGCGGGGGGGGGGGGGGGGGGGGGGGGGGCCGGCTTGGACTCCAGCCCCATCCCGATTGGCCTGACGGGAGCTCTCACTTCAACCGATTACTTATCTCTTTCCCCTCCGTCTCTCAGCATGGGGCGCCTTTCGACAGGCAGCACCAATGCCGTCGGGACCGCAATCCTATTCAATAGCTGTCTCCATCCGCCCCAACCCAACTCGACATCTCCCTCCCAGGTCCCTCAGCCTCACCTCAGCCCTGGCGGCGACGGCCGTTAATGAAGCCCTCTGCCCTCGCTTGCACCTCCCTCGGATCTTCCGTTTGGCACGAGCCAATCTCCCCCCTCCACTTCCACGCCCGGCGCATGCGCCTGCAGCGGGTATAGGGGGAGGAGCCGCGAGTGAAGGTGCACGAGCTCTGGGATGGGAGGAGACGCACGCGTGCTGAGGCTTCACTGCCACCTGCCGGCACAGGACCGTCGTGAAAACCAGCTCCCGCCTTACGGCAGCTGGCGGTCAGCGGCTTCGCGCCAACATGAAGCGGCGGCGTTCTTGGTCTTAGCCGTCGAGTGCTTGGGGTAGGGGTGTGAAAGGAGGTAGCAGCAGCGTTCAGGTAAAATCGGCAGGCGTCGTTTTAAGTCTCTCATTTTGTAGATTGGGGCTACAAGTGTTGTTAGGAAGACTAGAGTAAACGGGCGTTCGGGCGGCAGTTGGATTAGGGATCCGGCGGTCAATGGTATTCGCCGGGAACAGCGGTCATATCTGTTGTCAGCCTTGAGGCTGTCAATTACTGCCCGGAACCGGGGCTGTCAGTCACTGCAGGGGGCGGAACATAGGGCCTCTCAATCATTATATGGGGTGCGGCAATGGGATTATCAATCACCGCGGGAAAACTACGGTACTTTCAAGCGCTGCAGGGGTAGTGGCCTTGGGACTGTCGATCACTACAGGGGGTGTGGCTTCAGTGCGGTCATCACGGAGCAGGGTAGGGTCTACGACTGTCGATCACCACAAGGGGTGCGGCTCAAGGCGTAGGGGCGGGTTCTGTGACTGTCAATCATTGCAATGTCCTTGGCCCTGTGGCTGTTAATCACCACTGGAGGCAGGGCCATAGTGTCAATCACTGCCAGGGGCGCGCCTTAGGCTGTCAATCACAGTGTTTTTGGTCCTGTCAATCAGGGCAGTGGCTGAAGGTCTGTGCCCTGTCGGTCCCTATAAAGAGAGGCGCTATGTGGCCGTCTCCCACTGCAGACAGCGGGACTGTACGGCACTTGATTACTGCAGGGGGCGGGGCTTTTGTCCTTGTCAATCATTGTAAGGTGCGGGGCTCTTAGCCCTGTCAATCACTGCAGGGGGTTGTGGTTTTGGCCCTGTCAATCACTGCAGGGGGACGAAATGTTGCTCCTATAGAATCATACAATCCCTACAGTGTGGAAACAGGCCCTTCGGCCCAATAAGTCCACACTGACCCTCAGAGCATCCCACCCAGATCCATATCATACGGTAAAAAGTTTAGCCTTTGTTTCTTTTGCTCATCAACTTAAACCTGTCTCTAGTTCTCAACTTTTCTGCCAATGGAACACTTTTTCCCCTATCTACTGTGTCCAGACTCTTCATTATTTTGAAAACCCGAAGGGTGTAGGCCTGAAATGTCAGTCTTCCTGCTCCTCTGATGCTGCTTGGCCTGCTGTGTTCATCCAGCTCTACACCTTGTTATATCAAATATTCACTCAGCTTTTGCTTCGCTTTAAGGAGAACAGCTTCAGCTTCTCCAATCTAACTATTTAACTGAAGTTCCTCTTCCCAGATCCAACCTCTTGGGCAAACTCAGAAAAGACAGGTAGCATTTTCTTCACCTCTTCGGTTGGGTCAGGGTATTAAAAGGATATGGAATCAAGATGGATAGATGGAGTTGAGATACAAAGCAAGTTTGATGGAATTGACTGGCAGATTATTTAGCAAGTTATGTATCACCATTAGAGTCTGTACAACCTACCTGTCATTGAACTGTAAATCAGTATGAAGGGGAAGAACAAAGCTCACTTTGCACTGTCAATCCCACCCTCAGAATAGTGTCTAATTAGCTGTTAGTCATGTTAAATGTGGAGCTGGAGGAGCACAGGCAGTATCTGAGGAGCAGGAAAGTCAACATTTCAAGGGTCCAAACCCAAAACGTTGACTTTTCTGCTCCTCAGATGCTGTCTGACCTGCTGTGCTCCTCCAGCTCAACATTTTATCGATTCTGAATTCCAGCATCTGCAGTCCTTATTATCTCCTAGCAGCTGTTAATCTCACTGGAAAGATCGGGATTGAGAAAGCAGGAATTGGTCTCCACTGAATGGTGTTGAGAGCAGATTGCACAGACTATCAGAAAGGAGTTTAATGGGATGTAAGCGTTGCTGGTGAGAGATGCAATTTTTTTCTAATTCCCCTTGACTGAGCTGCTTTCTTCAAATGCCTCAGTCTATCATTGTAGGTTTTTTATTCATTCACTTGCGGGATGTGGGCATTGCTGGCTAGCCAGCATTTATTGTCCAACCATGGTTGTCTTTGAGGTGGTGGTGATAGCAGGGTGGCAGTGGACATCCAGCTAATGGCCAATGTCATACATTGCCTGAAAACAATGGTGTCGTGCACCAATTAGAGGATGCTCAGGTGTGCAGTGGAACCCCTACTCTGATGGAATTTCACATGGACCTCAAGGTCTTGAACCTGGCTTAGAAACCCACACCCCACAACCTGAGCCACCTTTTGGGTATGTGTAGTGTGACTTTTCAACTTGCAAAAAGTGTTTTTTTTTGTACAAGCTGCTGCTGCTGTGCATGCGCCTTGACTCCTTCATCGGCCATCTGGATATGCCTTGGCATGCTTATTTACTGCCAGGCAGTGGAGATCCTCAGTGGAAAGGCTGCCTGTGCGGGAGACCCCCCATTTTCTATTGGAGACCAAGAGTGGAGGGTGTTGCACGCAGCAGTCCTGTATAACCACAGATTGCGGTGGTTCACAGACTCCCAGCCCAACTGTTTATTATGCGGCACTGTGGAGTCCATGGACCATATATATATTGGTTGTGGACAATTGCACCCCCTTTGAAAAGTCTTTTGTTCTGCTTTTGCTTCCACTTCAGCCCGTGCTCCTTATCTTTGGGCATGCAGTGCAGAGGCATATGTGCAAATCCATGAACCTCCTTGTGGGTCTGCTCGTGGGTCTGGCCAAGCTGACTATTATGTGTCTAAGCAGTGGGCTGTGGGATGGGTCATCTCTGCTGACTGTCTGCCCCTCTATAGCAGTTATGTTCGTGTCCAGTCATCCATGGAGAAGGTGCACTCAGTGTCCATCAATGCTCTTGATACCTTCAGAGGTGGGCACCGCAGGGGATTCAGTGCTTTATTTCTCCCTCCAACTCCATTTTGATTTAGTCCCTTTCCATACTCCTTACCCCTCCTTCACTTTGATAGTTTGCATTGCCTAAAATGGGCTTTGCTTATAAACTTCTAACTGGCAACATGGGTGATTTACTGGTAGCAGTTAATAGTTAAAAACAAAAAAATAGGATGGTGGTGAGCTGCCTTCTTGAACAGCTGCAGTTCATTTGATGTGGGTGCACGGACAACACAGTTAAGGAGGAAATTCTAGAATTTTAACCTGCAACTCTGAAGGAACAGCAGTATATTTTCAAGTCAGTTTGGTGAGTGGCTTGGTGGGGAACTTGCAAGTGGTGGTGTACCCATGTATCTGCTGTCCTTATCCTTCCAGGTGGCAGCAGTCGTGGGTTTGGAAAGTGCTGTCTAAGGAACCTTGATGAGTTACTGCAGAGCATTTTGTAGATGGTACACACTGCTGCTTCAGAGCATTGTGAGTGGAGGGATTGAATGTTTGTGGATACCGTGCCAATCAAGTGGGCTGCTTTGTCCTGGATAGTATCAAGCTTCTTGAATGTTGTTGGAGCTGCACTCATCCAGACAAGTGGAGTGTATTCCATCACACTCCTGACTTGTGCCTTGTAGGTGGTGGGCAGGATTTTGGGAGTCTGATGTTAGACATATCGTGCTGATCGGAAAGGAGGTCCCAGCAACAGTGAAGGAACATAGTGCCTTATATCATGAAATGACCCAAGATGCATTGTAAAACAAGAGTATGACTCTGAACCACACAAAGCAGACCAGGAGCCAATGAAGGTTAGCAAGGACAGTCTGAGGAAACAGGCAACAGTCATTTGGTTCACCTCATGATTATGAAGAATAGAATGTGAGGAACCTGCCAGGAGTGTTTTGGAATGGTCAAAACTGGAGTCATTAAAAGCATGAATAGACATTTCAGCAGTGAATGAGCTGACAAGAGCGAAGTCAGCGATATCATGGAGCCATAGAAGGCATTCTTAGAGATGGCATGAATATGAGGTCTCGGGATGGAATGTGACACCGAGGCTGAGAATAGATTGGCTTAATTTTAGACTATTGTTAGGGTGGAAGACCAGCAATTTCTTTCCAGTTCGGAATGCATGTGACGTCGAGGAAACTTGCAGAGGATGGTGTTCCCGTGTACCTGCTGCCCTTGTCTTTTCAGGTTGCAGAGTTCACGGGTTTAGAAGCTGCTGTGGAAGGAGCCTTGGTGAGTTGTTGCGTACTGTTTATTGTACCCATTGGATTTAAGACTTGAATTTAGATAGCACCTTTCACAATTATACAATGTTCCAAAACACTTCACCCTCAAATAAGTATTTCTACAGTGTATTTTGTGTTGTAATGTAGAAAACATAACCAATTTGGCATATGAGCAGCATAGTGGCTCAGTGGTTAGCACTGCTGCCTCACAGCACCAGAGACCCAGGTTCAGTTCCACCCTCGGACCACTGTGTGGATTTTGCACATTCTCCCCGTGTTTGCATGGGTTTCCTCCAGGGTGCTCTAATTTCCTCCCACAGTCCAAAGATGTGCCCGTTAGGTGGATTGGCCATGCGTTATTGCCCATAGTGTCCAGGGATGCGCAGCCAAGATGAATTAGCCATAAGAAATGCAGGGTTTCAGGGACAGAGATGGGGTAGTTCTGGGTCAGATGCTCTCGAAGGGTCAGTGTGGACTTGATGAGCCGAATTGCCTACTTCCATACTGTCAGGATTCTATGATTCAATGAATTTACACAGAGCAAAAGCTCATAAACTGAAATGATATATCTAATCAGGAAATCTGTTTTGATAATATCGTTTAAGGGATGAATATTGAGCAGGTCACTGGAGAACTTCCCGATCTACTTCAAGATAGTGCCATGGGATATTTTACATTCATCTGTGGAGCCAGACAGGGCTCTGTCTTCACGACTGATCTGTAAGATAGTACCTCCATTACAATGCTGAAGTCTCAGTGTCGATTGCCAGCCTATCAAAGACCTTCCTTTTTATTCTTCTTCTTCCCTCTCTCCTACCTTCATGTGTTCAAAACTTACTATATTTCTAACTTGTCCCAGTTCTGACAAAAAATCATATACCTAAAACATTAACTCTGTTTTCTTTCCACAGATGCTGCAAACCTGCTGAGTATTTCCAACCTTTTCTATTTTTATTTCAAACTTACAGCATCTCTAGAATTTTGTTTTTGTACCTAAAGTTTCTTGTTTGTTTTCAGGAGCAGCATGGACCCAGTAATAGTGAGCTACCATGACAGCTTAATCAGACGCTCAGATCTCTCACTCCTCAACCCACCCAACTGGCTCAATGATCACATCATCGCATTTGCCTTTGAATACTTTGCTGCTGAACAGTATAAGGAGCTGTCAGGCAGAGTCTGCTTCATTAGCCCTGAAGTTACTCAGTTTATTAAATGCATGGCCAGCCAGGAGGAGCTGGCAATCTTCCTGGAGCCACTACAACTGGCGCAGAAAAGCTTGGTCTTCTTTGCAGTCAATGACAATTCTGTGCAGGCGGCTGGTGGGTCTCACTGGAGCTTGCTGTTTTACAACAGCGATAGGAACTGCTTCAGCCACTATGATTCCTGCAGCAATATGAATGAAAGTCATGCTCGTGAGATAGCGAGGAAGCTGCAACACTTCCTGGGAACCAAATCTGAAGTGCCTTTCGTTGAGGATTCAGCACCAGTTCAAAAGAACAGTTATGATTGCGGGATGTATGTGATTTGCACTGCAGAGGCTCTTTGCGAGCAATACCTCAGGAAGGACCACAGGCCACCAGTGGTGGTTGTCACCCCAGCCTATATCACCCAGAAGAGAGCTAGCTGGAAAAAACTGATTGAGCAGCTGTCAAAGAAATGATCACTTCTTTGTTTCTTTCTTGAGTGAATCTGTATGTTGATTTCTGAATGGGTTTAGCCGACTGGTTTGAGATAGACATTTAAATTTTGTTCAAAGAGGCAATCATCTTTCTCCCGATTGGGCTACTTTTCCAGGCTGGAGGATAAAAGTTGGGTAGGTTTTGCATGTGAGAGACATCATTTGTAAGGATACTAGGAAATATTGTTTCCCTCACTTTCTTTGTGGCTTCTTCATTGAGACAGCTTGGAGAAGTGATCATGAAAAAGACTTTCGATGATGTATTCAAACTTTTTAGAGCATGCTAGAAATATGATGCCTTACACAAAACAATTCTGTCCATGTTTTCTGTTTGGTGCACTGGGGAAGGGGTGGAGTGGATTTTACAGCATTACATTTGCCATAGTGCATTTTAAATAAATAGCCTGTTGTTTGACAATACGCTATGGTGCTCTGCATCTCTTAAACTCACCTGTGACCGAATTATATCCAAGTGAAATTAATCTGACTTCTTCTGTTTTTAATGCTTCCTCACGTTTTGCTTGAATCTGAAAACTTTGTGACTGAGCACAACAATAAAAATTGAGTTACCACAATTGGGTATCCTTTGGAGTTTAAAAGAATGAGAGCTGTTATTGAAACATTTAGATCCTGAGGAGATTTGACAGGGTTGGTGCTGAAAGAATTTTTTAACTCATGGGAAAGACTAGAATTAGGGAATATTGTTTAAAAATAAAGGGTCTCCCTTTGAAGAAAAAGGTGGAATTTTTTCTCTCAAAACATCTTGAATCCAATGAACACCTTCACAGAGAGCAGTAGGCGGAGATGAATAGAAACTGAAAGAATTACAGATGCTGTAAATCCAAGACAAAAACAGAAATTTCTGGATAAGCTCAGCAGTTCTGGCAGCATCTTCGGAGAGAAATCAAAGTTAATGTTTCAGGTCGAGTAACCCTTCCTCAGAACTTAGATCTTGACCAACAAGGCATTTAAAGGGTATCGGGAGGGATAAACAGGAAAGAGGAGTTGGAGCCAGTCGGATTAATCATAATCTTATCAAATGGCAAAGCAGGCTCAGGGGCCCAATTATCTACTCCATCACCAAATTCATATGTCCAAACTTTCTCCACAAGTTTAGCCCATCATCCCAGGAATCAGTCAAGTGAACTTTCACTGCACTGCTTCAAATGCAGTTACATCCTTTCTGAAATAAGGAAACTAAACTGAATGCAGTACTGCAAATGTGATCTTACCAAAGCCTGTACGACTGCAGCAAAACATCCTTACTTTTATGTTCCAGTCGTGCTGCAATAAACACTAATATTCCATTTTCTCTCCTAATCGTCCTGCAAATTTAATGTGATTCATGTACCAGAACACCAGATCCTTTTGTATCACTGAGATCAGCAATCTTTCTTCATTTAAATAGGACACTCCTTTTCTGTTCTACCATGCATTTTCCCACATTATACTCCATTTGCCAATTTTTTGCCCTCTCACTCAACTTATCTACATCCCTTTGTGGACTTCTGTCCTCCTGTCAACTTACTTTCCCTATCTGTGTGGCATCAGCAATTTTAGCTATTTTATCATAATATAAAATATTAATTAATAAACATTATCTTACTACTTAATCATCTGCTTTAGCTCATTCCTTTGCAGTTCCTAAAACCTATGCAACTTTTAATCTCTCCCAGTTTTCTATGCCTTTTTCAATCCACAGGCTTTAAGAAACCCTAAACCTGGTGTCAACTGGTTGGTTACTTCATTACTAAATTCGCTCATTATTTTTCTAAGTATTGGTAGAGTTCTGCCCCCAGGCCTTACCCATTTCCTTACTTCTCACATAGAGTTTCTAAGTAACAGTAATTCTCTAGATTTTTTTGCTTATTTTGAGACTTGTTTCAATATTATAACTCATTAAGCAGTATTTGTAACATTTCATGCATTTTCTGATGATTTTCCAACTTGCTCCTCGAATCTCTTAAATTGCATTATCAGTTAACACAAGATGGCCCTAACGCCAACTCATGGCCTGCTGCGGCAAAATTAAGTTTGGGTTCCTGGCAAGGTCTGTGTTGAGTGCATATTATGGTGGCAGCGGAGGCGAGTTTTGGCCCAGTATGAGACCGGGCAAGATCAGCAGCGACTGCGTCGGGGAAGAGGGCCCAAAGCAGACTCATGGCGACAGTGGAGTCGAGTTTGGGCCGGTGCATTGGCAAGGTCCGGCAAGGGCATCAGTGGAGGCGAGATAGCGCCAAAGAGAGGTGACTTCCAGTGGCAGCAGCGTGGCGAAGGGGGCTCATGCTTGTCTACCAGGCCCATGGCGGAGCACTTAACAAGAATGACTGTAAAGTTGAACACTTTTTTTTTCTTTATTTTTCTGCCTTTATGTTCTATGTTTTGGGTTTTTTTTGTGTTTTAAGATGGTGCTGGTGACACTTTCCAATGCTTTATACCATATTTTATAACAAAATACATATGACAATAAATAAATCATATCAAATCAAATTCCTGTGACTTTTCTTTTCCAGCTTTCTTTCCCTCTTCTGAAGATTAACTATTCTTGGTTATGATACCAAAGGTAGCAGTAATTTGCCTGTATGGCCACTGTTTTAAGCTGAACACAGACTGTAAGAGTTAACCTTGAGGATGTTATGACTGAACCTGTTCCAGTCTTCCTGAAGGTATTAATGGGAATGGAAATAGGAATGGGAGTCCTGATTGATTATTATCTTCACTTGCTTGTAATCACTAACATTAATTATAGTGCCTTTCCTTAGTTCAGGTAGCTCAGTACTGAGTGGAATTATATGAAAGTTGTATCTTTATCATTATATTACTGATTCAGTAATAATGTGACAAGAGTTCAATGCCCACTAAAGCATCTAGTGAATTTTACTTCAATTAGCAAATAAAGCTGCAATAAAAGGCTGGTATTAGTAATGATGATCAAGACTGTTGTAAAAACTTAGTTAGCTTACTAATAGCCTCTACAGAAGGAGATCAGATATCCTCATCTAGCCCAGTCTACATGTGACTCCAGACCCATAGAAACATGGTTGACTCATAAGTTCCCCCTTGAAATGACCTCACAAGTAACTTAGCTGTACCCAATAAATTTGTTCACACTCCTTAAGGGCAGTAGTGCCAGTCTTGCCAAAAATCACCATTTCTTGTGAATGAATTTTTAAAAATGATTGGAATCTTGTTGCTCACGCAGCTCAGCTTCTTAACAAGCAATGGAGCTATCAGCTACACAGCTGCACTGGTCTGTACCAGAAGCAGAGCTCCCCACCAGAGAGGAAGCTGCTTCAAGGTCACAGCAGTATTTATAGCTTGCTGAAATTTGGTAGATATGTTGTACTAATTTGCAAGCTTGGAAATTTCAGATTGATTTTGGATGTTTGTTTGCAGCTGAGTCTAATCAATGGAATCAGTAATTCTCAGGTGTGCAGTTAAATTAAACATGAGAACGTTTGTTTTTCTCCCATTCAAAGTGCAATGACATCCCCTCCTAAGCAAACCACAGCGTGTATGTGACTTGAGTGCAAACACAAATTATATTTCCACACAGAGAGTAGCCATCCTCAATTACCCCAAACTAGTGATGATTTTTCATTTTTTGTTCAAGGAATACAGGTTAGAGGTACTGTGCTGTAAATGACTAAACACAATAATTGGAGAGAGTAAATAGAAGCAGTCTCTCTCTCCGAAAGTCAAGGGATCAGGAACAAGTGGTCTTTGATCCAAGGTTAAATCTTTGGACATTTAGAACAAAGACCATGGCACAAGTCAGGAATACTCTCCATTTGCCCAGATGAGTGCAGTTCCAACAACAGAAAATTTGACATCATCCAGGATAAAGCAGCTTCTTTATTCCCTTCGGCACTGATATACAGTAGCAGCAATTGTGCTGTCTACAAGATGCAGTGCAGCAATTCATTAAAGCTTCTACAAAAACCCACAACCTCTATCATTTAAGAGCAAAGGAAGAAGACGAATATGAATACCACCACCTGCAAATTGATCTCTAAGCCACTTACCATCTTGACTTGGACTAATCACTGTTCTTTCACTGTAACTGGGACAAACTGCTGGACAGTCTCTAACAACACATGTGGGTGTCCCGACACCGCAAGCAGCAGGTCAAGGAGGCAACTCACACCACCTTCTCCAGGACAATCAAGGATGTGCAATAAATGCTGAGTTTGGCAGCAATGCCTATATCCCGTTCAAATATAAAAAAGAGTAACACAAGGAGTGTTACAAAGCTGAGAAATTCAGTTCCTGACAGTGGTTGTACATTTTAACATGCAAATTAAAGATGCTGTAGGCAACCCAGACCTTCAGTCATGTTGTGTCCTTCAATGAGACCATGTCTTTCTGATTATTGCATATTCCAACCTAATCCCAATAATCCGTTACCACATTCCCCCCCACCCCCCCGTCAAGAATCTATCTACTTCTGCTTCAAAAACATTCACAGACTGCTTCCACTGTCTTTCAAGGAATTGAGTTCCAAAATTCACCACTGTCTATGAGAGAAAATGTCTCTGCATCTCTGTCTTTAATGGGTAACCCCTAGTTTTAATTGTTCCCACAAAAGGAAATATCCTTTCCATATCTACCCTGTCAAGACCCTTCAAGATTTTATGTATCAATCAAAAAGCTTCTTTCTATTCTATACACCAGTGGCTGTGGCAGAAACATTGATTAGATTTGCTGGATGGATGAAGGAATACGGGAACAGGTAGTGTCCCAAACCCTGACCCGGGGTAGAGGTATTAAGTATTCTTTGCTCATGTGGAGAGTCAAAGCTGACAGCTGACTACTTGACTCGAAGGCCTGTTTTTACGTTGTACTTTGTATTCGTGAGTTTGGTTAAAATTAGCTGAGTGACGGCAGACAATTTGTTTGTATGGGACGTCACAACCAAGTCTGGAATGATTCCCAATAGTAGGTGGCGACCAAAATTAGAAACTGCACTGCACCCAATTGTGTGCTGTATTTACTCAATAGAACCATGGAGAGGAGCTGTCCTCCGTATAATTCACTGCTAATTGATTTACAAAGACAACTACAACTTTGTTTTAAAAAAAACTAACATAGCAAAAATGACCAAAGATGCTTTATAAGGCAAAATACGACACAGAACCACATGAAGCAGGTGAAAAAAGGCTTATAGATATTGCCTTGAAGGATGACACAGGTTTACAGGAAGAATTCCAGAATTCAGAGGTCAAGAGGCTGAAAGCATGACCACCAATAGTGCAGCAATTAAAATCAGGGATGTGCAAATGGCCAGAGTTAAAGGAATTAAATATGAACATTCTCACTGCACTTTGACCTTAAAACAAATGGGAACATAATTGTTGATCACTGATCATATTTAGTTGCTTTTTCAGTCAGAGAAAATATTCTGAAAATGTGATCTTTTAACAATGAGGATTTTCTTCTTCTTACCAAGCTCTAACTATACTATCTAATGCTTCCTCACTGTTAAACACACATCACACCATCTCCTTCTTTGACTGAACCTTTCCCTGGTTCTTGAGAATATTCTTCCCTTGTCTCTCTCTCACCTCAATTAAATTGACAGCTTAGTGTCAGTTAATCATTTCTTTGTATTTCTCCTCTTCCCTCCCAATTTTTTTTAAAAAATGAATAAAAGGAACAGAAGCTATAATGATTAAATAAAATGTTTAACTGAATTGATACTGTTGAAATAGTTCAGTGAGTTGTCCAGTGTGTTGCTAACCTCTCTGCTCTATGCTGAATAAGAAACTTTACACTGCAACAGGAGGAGGAATTTTGTGCCAACATGATAATTCCCAATATAGTACTGCACAAATTTTTATTGTAAAGGAAGACTGTAATTTATATATCACTTCATGCTGACTAGCTGTCCCAAAGCACTTTACAGATGAATAAGTACAGTGTCATAGTAAGTAAACACAGCACTCTATTTGCACACATAAATCTCCCAAACATCTCCGTGATAACAACCAGATAATCTGTTTGTCATATTGACTGAGGGACAAATATTGGTCAGAAAATACTGACACCAGAGATAACTTACCCATTCTTCTTTGAAATAATGATATGGAATCTTTTGCAGACCTTAGCATTAGTCTGGATTTTTACATTCTTGTCCTGGAATAAGACTTGACCTCAGAACATTGTGACTCGGAGGTGAGAGTGCTACCATTTTAACACAGTCAAGAACCTGTAGCTGCTCTCCCTGCTGAAGAAACGTCACCAGCTGAGCAGGTCTAAATATCTCACAAGAATAAATGGAGAACTGACATCATAGATGAGGAGAAAACTTCCTAACATGTTTTTGGTGCATTTAACTTGCATCATGGAAATCCTGATCTTGGCAGCAAGGTGGTTTCCAAGCTACATATGGTCTGCGTACCTTGGCAATTCTGTCACACTTCTACTTTTTTTAAGTTTCATACTTCTTGGTTGTCTTTACTGGGCCTGCCCTGTCAGTGAATAAATCCTAAATTGGAACATCAAGATCTATCAGTTTCAGATCCCTGAAAATGGATATTTTTCATTCACAAGATATGTCTGTCTCGGCAAAACCAGCAGTTATTGCCAGAGTGGTGAGCTGCAGACCATTTGCATTGTAGTTTCTTGGAGCAGTTTTGGTACAACTAAGTGGCTTGTTGAACCATAACAGAGGTCAGTTGATGGCCAACCACCTTGCAGTGGGTTTGGAGTCACATGTGATGGCAGACTGTGTATGGACAGCATGTTTTCTTCGCTAAAGGAAATTAGTAGACCAGATAGGATTTTAACAACAATCCAGTAGTTTCATTGTCACTATTACTGCTGCTAGCTCTTTATTCTAGATTTATTTAATTAATTGAATTCAAATTCCCCAGCTGATACAGTAGGAGTTGGACTACATCCACAGATTATTAGCCCATGATCCTGGGTTATTAATCCGGTCATAAAAAATAGTGCTACCACACCAGTGGAATTTAGTATCCATATGTGGTCCACATAGAATAAAAATGTATTGTCACGTGCACTTGCACATGAAAAATAAAGTGAAAAATTTTATAAGTTGCTGCATGCACCTATCATCCAGTTGTATGTGGGTATTAACCATTGAATAAATTGACCACTGGTATCAGCAGTCATCTGATCAGTGCATATGAGTGACTAGTCCAATGAGGCAGCATGGTGCAATCGATTGTGTGTCATCAGTCACCGTTTGCACCATCAAGGTCACCTCTAGGGTTTCTGATTTGGTATAAACATTCCATAAATTAAATGAAATCTCCCTGAAACAAATTCACAACAACCCCAAGCTCAAAATTAGTTGTCTGCTCAAAAGCATGGCTGAGGGGAACAGAGAGCCCCTCTGAAGCTGGCTGAGTGCACTCATCAGTCAGGTCAAAGAAATGAAGAAGGGTCCCAACCCGAACCGTCAACTTTCCTGCTCCTCTGATGCTGCCTGGCCTGCTGTGTTCCTCCAGCTCCACACTGTGTTATCCCTTCAAAGTGGAGTGAACCTAAACAAATGAGACAATTTGTGCCAGCAAAAAAGCAGTACTGAAGTCACAGAGGCAGAATGAGCAGCAGTAGAGGGAAAGGAGCTGGGAGCAAAACAAGAAGCAACAGATAAGCATTTGGTTTCCTCTCACTTTCTATTTCTCAATATTTTCCTCTCTTTCTGTTCTCTGGAAACACGTCTACAGGAGGTTCTGAGTCTGGCACAAGACAGACTTTGTCACTAGACCAATTTATTATGTTACACAACAAGAAGAGTGTTAGGAAATGGATAAACCTGGTTAGCAAATAATCTAAATAAACCAGTTTTTTTGATTTCTAGTTGGCCTTCTGTCACAGCAGTGCTACAGTATCCAGCAGCCACAACAAAGGGTCTCACTGTTAAAATTCTCAAAGTCCTGTTTCAAAATATTAGACAGTAAAGGTATATTCCTCACCTTAAGGAATAAAAGAAAAAAATGCATTTAGATAATGCCTTTTATAATTTTATGATACCCCACATTCCATAACAGCTAACAAATTACTTTTTTGTAAAGTGTAGTTCCTGTTGTGATGGAAGAGACAGCAGCCCAAGTGACACACAGAAAACTCTTGCAAACGGCAATGACAAAATTATCCACCTTAGTGATTTTGTTTGAGGGATAAATATTGGCCATGACATTGGGGAGAATCATGTTTGAAATAATTCCATCAGTTGCTTTATATTCCCCTGAGACACAGACAGGATCTCAATTTGGCAAATCATTGTCAAATTTGACCTTCCAACAGTGCACTGTCCCCGCCCCCGTATTATGTTTTATTAGGAGGTGTATAGACCTTTGCTAGCTACGTATAAATTAAATTGGAATTAAGATACAGATCAGCCAGATCATTGTGAATGGTGGAACAGGCTTGAGGGGCTGAACAGCCTACTATTCCAACAGGCGGGGGAGTGGGGGTGGTGACACGAAATAGACCATCAATAGACTGTATAGCCAGTCCTGCCTGTTCTAACATTCAATGGGATTATGGTTAACCTTGGCCTTCAACCCCACCTCCCTGCTCACTTCCCAGATCCCTTGCTTTCCCGATGGACCAAAAGTCTGTCTTGTTCCCAGCCTTAAATGTATTCAACAACGGACCATCGACAATCCTCCGGAGTAGAGAATTCTAAAGATTCACAACCCTTTGAGTGAAGTAAACTCTCCTCATCCCAATCCTAAACAATCAGTCCCTTTTCCGAAGGGACAGTCTCCTGTGTTCTATATTCCATGGCCAGGGGGAACAATCTCCCAGCGTCTACCCCGTTCAGAATCTTACATGTCTCGCTGAGATTGCCTCTCGCTTTTAAATTTAAGTCTCTGGACAACTCTTAAGCCAGAACGGTAAGGAATACGAAGGATGTAGAGTCACTGGAGAAAGTGAAAGTGTGAGCAGTGCAGTACAAAGGGAGAGCAATAGAGGGAGTGTAAGATGAGTGCTCAGTCTGAAGCTACACCCAGAAGTGACTGAGAGAGAGAGAGAGGGAGGAGAGGAAGGAAAGGAAGGAAACGCTGAAAGAGACTGAGATACACGTACAGCAAAGTTCACCGCCCACCCTGCTGGAAATCGGAGGCTTGGCGCTGTCCTTTCGTCGGGGTTAGGGGCAGAGAAAGTTGAGAATGTCTACATCAGACGAAGTGGATGGGCTGGGGGCAGTCAGACCCCACTATGGCTGTAAGTAAACCCCCAGTCAAACTGCAAAATAAGCTACACCTGGAGGAGGCAACTCAGGCAACATTAGAGTGAAGTTTGGGAAGTGTGGGTGGGTGTGGAGACCAGTCGAGTATCAGCGTCTTCAGAAGGATCTGGCGAGTGTGTAAATGGTAACAAGTTGGAGAAAGTTGCAAGGCAGGTGTGTTTTGGCGGAGAGGTTTTCCAAACCAAACCTTATTATGTGAGTTTCAGCTCAGCTTTAGAAGCTGCGGGGTGGGGGCTGCTGAATTTATAGGCACTAGGGGAGGAAGATTACTCTTGTTTTTAATAGTTCCTGTCCGGAATTGATAGTTGACATAATAAATCATTTTTCCCCCTTGGTTTCCAGTCCCGCGATGTGGGATCTTGCTGTGCATTGTCGACACACCAAAGGGCGTGGCTATCAGGATGGCTAAACTGTTTTTGTTCGAGTTGTTTTAACGCGATGTACAGGTGTTTAACCAGCCGGTTCGGATTCTCTCAGGAGCTGCAAAAGATTGGTTGCAGATGGTCAGTGAACCCAGTCTGAAAGGATTGCATCAGTCCCAGATTCTGGCTGAAACTCCTCACCCACCCTGTCCTCATGGGACTTGATCACTATCTGATTTTGCCGATGTAGCGATCAGGGCAATGTTTCCAGACCATGAGGATCACTAACTTGTCAGCCCCCACCGCCAACACTGTCTGCAACTTCTCCCGCAGCTGCCGCACTTGTACACCTCTCCCAATTTCAATTCCGATCCTCAGGGACTGGGAGCTGGGTGAGGCGGTCTGATGGCGGGAAACCAACTTCCGCATCACAGTCGGTTTATCCCCAGGGACAGAGGGAGCTGGATACCAGAATTAACAAGAAAAGTGAAGGAGACCCCGGCACTGATGAGAGAGAGAGAGGAGAACCCCCAGATTTAATAGACTTTATAATTAATGTGAGGCAGGGAGACACTCAAAACAGGGACAGCACGGAGTTAGATACAGCGTATAGCATGCTCTAACTAACCGTTCTCTATTCTTTTAATTTAAACTGAAAGTTTAGCTCTCTCGACAATATCCCCATCAAGCATTCATACGACAGGCACAGCAAGGGGTTAGAACGACGATGAACCTTCCGCTACATTGTCCCCCAACAAACACGCCAAAACAAGGAAAGCATAGGGTGAGATACAGAGTAGAGCTCTCTCTACACTGGCCCCCATCAAACACTCAGGACAGGGACAGCATGGAGTGAGATACCGAATAAAGCTGCCTCTACACTGTCCCCCATCAAACACTCTCAGGACAGGGACAGCACAGGGTTAGATACAGAGTAAACCTCCCTCTACACTGTCCCCATCAAACACTCCCAGAGACAGGGATAGCATGGGGTTAGATACAGAGTAAATCTCCCTCTACACTGTCCCCCATCTACCATTCCCAGGACAGGGACAGCACGAGGTTAGATACAGAATAAAGCTGCCTCTACACTGTCCCTCATCAAACTCTCCCAGGACGGGATTACATATAAAACTTCTGCAATCGCTCTGCTTCCTCAGAATATCCCTCTAACCAACCCAAGCTTGAACTTTTTACCATTTTCTGCATGAGTCTTCCTTAAAATTCTTTCAGAACAGCAATGATTTTACTCAAAGTCATTTCATCTAGGAAAGTATGCAGCTGTTGGACATGCCTGCTTTTCAATAGATTCGCCAGTTCAAAGGCCAATTCCCCCTCCCTCAAAGTTAAAATATCTGATAATAGGAGATAGTTTTTGCACAAATCATATTCAGAGCTCCACTGATATCCAATGGGATTGAATCCTTGCTTTGTATGTTTCCTGCTGGTCTATCCTTGGACAGATAAATAGTTCTCTATTCATGAACTTGTTCGTGGGCTATATGACAGCAAGTAAAGTGTAAATGTGTAAGAGATCAGGAAACGGTTGCCATGGTAGAACTGAAAGAGGATTTCCTCTTGGGTTACCAGGTCGGAGGTGATTTGAATCTCAAAGCCTCTTCAGTTCAAGTCAGAAGTGTGATGGAATACTCCCCATTTGCCTGGATCAGTGCAACTCCAATAACATTGACACTGCCCAGGACAAAGCAGCCTGCTTAATTGACACCACATCCACAATTCTCCCCTCTCTCCACCACCAACACTCAGTACCAGTAGTGTGTACCATTGACAACATGTATTGCAGAAACAACAAGGGTCCTTAGACAGCACCTTCCAAACCCACTACAATGTAGAAGGACGAGAGCAGCAGATACATGGGAACACTAACCCTAGCATGTGCCTGTCCAAGCCACTCACTATCCTGACTTGGAAATATATCGTCGTTCCTTCGGTGTCACTGAGTTGAATTCCTGGAACTCCTGTCTAAAGACATTGTGAGTTTGGGAAACAGACTGCACCAGTTCAAGAAGGCAGCTCACCATCACCTTGTCAAGGGTAACTAGGAATGCACAATAAATATGAAAGAATAAAAAAAATCTTCTGGTTAGCTCAACTGAGATCAGCTACCTCCAAACAGACCAGGTTTAATTTGGCACCTTCTGCAGTAATTGTAACAAGGTCAGCCAGTTGGACCTCATAGAATATGAGTTCCCTGACTGGGGGGTTAACCTGGTCCAATCAGGAAGCCCAGGCTGATAGATATAAACAGGAGGGTCGGACACCTTGTTCACTCTGAGACGTGGCTCAGTGTCAAGGACTCTCCACGTGTAAATAACAGGGTGACTTGGTGATGGGATACTGGCCTCTGTGGAGTTATTTCACCTTCTTCTGTGAGTCATTTACTCATCAGGTAATTTATTGGCCACTGACAGGAGGGTGTCACTTTGGCAATAGGTTTATGAATTTGAGCAGTGCCAGACCACATGAGAGACACGTCATCACTTGAACATCAGTGTAGTGTAATGTTCTGTCTGTACTTAACATCCACTAAAGATTCTCAACTGCAGAAAGGGCCCTCTTCAATTGCTTTTGTATGACCTTTCTCCATTTCAACTATAAACCCTCTTTTGGCTCTGTAGTCTTTAGAAACAGTGTTAAGACTATTCCTTCAGGTTGATTCCAGCCAGCAGGCACACCTGGATTTCACGTTGTCCCTTTGTGGATGGATGGCCAATCTCTGCGGTATTTGAAGATTCTTGGACTTCCATAGTTCACAGATCAGAGGCAGAGGGTTTGTGTTGTGCACTGAAACTAATCCACACGGTGAACACTGAATGCTTCAAGATTTACATTTTATCTGCAATCCTGGTGCTGTTCAATGAGCTAACAAAGCTCACACAGCACATAGTAGCCACGAGTTACTACACGAAAAGAAACCCTTATATTGGGAATAGGATTAAAGATTGATGGATTGAGTAGAGATTGGATTTATCCATCGGTCTGGGGGAGACACAGTGATCGCAGCTGCTGGAGGTATTCGAAGATGTGAAGGAGAGAACAGCAGGCTTAATTGAAGTGGCAGAGGTGTGGTAGCTAATGGATATCTAAACATTGTGTTCAATGGAGAAGAATAAATTGAATTTATACGGTATGACCTGAGCAGTTCACCCACAGTGAATCACTTCAAAAAGTGGCTGAACTTGTGGATACAGATATGTGCACTGTAAAACATTACAAATGGAAACAAGATGAATAACCAGTTAGTGTTCTTGGCTAGTGTTGGCTGAGGGAATAATGTTGTTCAGGGAGCTCCATGCTGTTCCGATGGTGTCATAGGATATCAGCAACTACTGAATAGGTCACTGTGGCCTCAGTTTAATATTTCATTAAGATGGCACTGCATAATACTTGGCTTGTTATCTGTAAGTGTGGAAAACTAATTTTGCACTTCCTGTGATGTCAGAACTCTATACTCTTGAAACAAAAATAATCTTGTAAGCAGAAAGCAAACAACCGGGGTTACCCAAGTAGGCAACAAAAGCACACTGTTTTTGTGATCTTCTCTGTCCCTTTCTGATTTCTCAACCTGTGATTACACATGGAACTGATCTCAGTCGTCATCTATAAATAAAAAGAAGCATATTTCCGTCCAACACAGAGTTCAGTTTGGGTCAAGAGAAAGCTAAGCTCAGCCGATTTCCTTTGAGGAAAACAGAGTAGGATCATAACTGAGGGAGTGCAACACACCCCCTTGTGCAAATTAGCCATAAAGAACATGTACTTGTCACATCGACTCTTTCCCTTCCTGCCTCTGGACTATCAGAAATAACCTGCTATATCCGGGACAAATAGTGCATAATTCTATGCACAGTTTGCTAACTCAGTAGCATTACTTTAAAGGATAAATCCTGGAGAAAAGGAGATGCCTGACTTTGAGTAACAATGAGTCGTTGATCTTAGTCATGGATCCTTCCCCCTTGGTTGATGTCTTGTCAGAAAAACAGCACCTTGACATTGCAGCACTCCATCAATACTGCAGGGGAAGAGTCTGCCTAGCTCTTACACTAAAGTTTCAGGACTGGTACTTGAACCCACAACCTTCTGCCTCAGATAACAGCACTATCAACTGAGCCACAACTGACATCCAAACGAAAGTACCGGAAAACTTTCAACAGGTCATGCAGTTATATTGCCTGCTGCTAGACCTTCTTAGTGTAAAATTTCATGTTGGTGAAGGAGGAGAGCAGAAGTCAATTTTCACTCAGTTTTGGATCTATTCACAAAATGAGATTTTCTAAATAAATAGCTCCAAACATCCACTATACCCCAATGTTAATAAATGTACAGTAATCATTAGCCAATAAGCACCCCAACCTGTAGGCACTTACACTGTTAATTGTATCAATTAAGGTTATTTCCAGAATTTTTTTCATTTTTAAAAAAATTTCCTTTTTCCAGTAACTATGCTATTTTGCTTGTTAGTCAAGAAGCACTTTACACTGCACTTACCTGTTTAATAAGCTTGCTGTATTAATTAAAAGATTATCCACGCAGTTTTGAGTAGTTAAAATGAGATTATCTTCATGATGAGATTTTGGATGCAGCCTGCTGACAATTAGAGGTGATTATTCAATGAATCTCCTGTTTTATTACAAATATGTTGGTTCCTTTGCTTTTTGGACTTACTGCCCTTCACGTAAAGTAGAAAATCTGCATTCACATTAACATTAATATCATACATGAAAGGAACTAAATTGTCCCAGCATGCATTTGCTTCCACCTGGTGGTCCAGGTTTACAGTGAGCTACCTTTAAGAAGGCAGCAGGAGTTTTCTAGAACTTTAGTGGGCCTGTATATCAGAAACAAGAGAGGGGACACTTCCACATCCAACTTGGACTATACTGCCTTTTCTATTTTACCGGTAAACTGCTCCTACCATTGTCCAACCAGCAGAAAAAGTTTTTTACAAACATAAAAGTCACAACAGAGTTAGGAGACTGTTTCCAGTTATGACAAAGGGTACCTAGACTCGAAACACTAACTTTGTGTTTCCCTCTACAGACGCTTCCAGACCTGCTCAGTTTCTCCATCACTCTGTGTTTGTTTCATGTCCCCAATTCACGAATGTCTAACTTAGGAATGCTTGTACTCACGTGCAATCCCACACAGGGTGTAATATGAAATGTCAGGGATACAAACATGTCCTGTATTTAGGAACAGCTGCTTTATGTTGTCCTGCATTGTGTTCCAATCAACTTGCAAAAAGACTCAGGAACAGAACCTGTTTACAGTTCAGGGACTGCCCGAATTATGATTGGCATACTGGAAGCTTGTTATCTAGGGCTAGAGTCTGCAACTATGCTGTGACAGCTGACATAGTAAAATTCGATTAAAAATTGTTACCATAATGATTTCTTAGAGTCATAGAATCCCTACAATGTGGAGAGAGATCATTCAGCCTTATCAAGTCCACACTGACCCTTTGAAGAGCATCTCACCCAGATCTAGGCCCCACAGATTTATAAAGAAACAGAAAAACTTGACCAGAAATCATGACAAGGGAGAGTCAGGATTGTGAAAATAAAACACTTTATGGGAGATTTTTCATAAGTGGATATCCTTCCCCTTCCATTGTTTTTATTTTTGTTCATTGTTTTACAGCTGTTTTGGATAATGAACGTCTTACAGCTGAGGAGATGGATGAACGGAGACGGCAGAATATTGCATACGAATATCTCTGTCACCTGGAGGAAGCAAAACGGTAAGTCCCTTTATCAGTGCTATCATTAAGGTCTCCTGTTGTCACTGTGTCTGGCAGCAGCAAGAGATGAAGAGTGATTTTGGTTTATAGATTCTCTAATCTTGCCACCGACACTGCTGCTACTCCAAATTATCCTGTTGCACAAATGTTTCTCACAATAGGATAAGAAGTAGAGTATCACACACAAAACAAGAGCTTCTGTGAACAGGAAAGATCCAGTATATGCAGTATACCTTGCTTCATTGCTAACCTCAAACTCTACTTTCTGGAAACACCCGTAAGCCCATTTATACCGTTTGAAGCTAAAATTTCAGAGTTAAGTGCTACTGATTTTATTTTGTGAGGTCTAATTACTATATTTAATGTTGTAAAAGTGTCTGATAGAATACATGTAAAGAAAGATATTATCACTGTAGGGGAGACCAAAAGTAACAATTATAAACAGAAGATCGTCACTAATAAATCCAATAAGAAATTTGGGAGAAACATGTTGATCCAGAGGGTGAGGAAAATATGGAACTTTCTCCAACAGGAAGTGGCTGAGTGATTATTTTAGATATTTAAGAGGAAGGTATATAAGCTTCATGAGCACAAAGGCAATAGAAAACTATAACGTTACAAAAGAGAGAGGGAAGATTCAAGTGAAGTATAAACCACCTGCATAGACCATGAAAATTGTGAATCAGTTACACGGGGAGATCAGTGAACCAAACACCTCAGATTGTTTTTTTTTTCTGGAGAGGGTTTGAGGAATCTGGTGAGAAGATGGAATTCAGTGGATTTAAGCTAAAAAAGAGATGGTACATGTTAGTTGGTTCACTAATGTCCTTTAGGGAAGGAAACTGCCATCCTTACCTGGTCTGGCCTACATGTGACTCCAGACCCACAGCAATGTGGTTGACTCTTATCTGCCCTCTGGGCAATTAGGGATGGGCAATTAATGCTGCCTAGCTAGCGATGCCCTCAGACAGTGAATGAATAAAGGAAAAAAAAGAGTTGTAGAAACCAATTCCTACCCAGAAATCTTTTAATTTTAATTTCCAGGAACTATATTTTTTTGTGCCTTCTTTTGGGGTTTGTGTTAATGATTTTGTGGTTTATGTGTCATTCTCCTGCACAGGCAGAGATGTGTGAAAAGATGAAAAGTAGGATTAAGATTTTCAGATATTCCAGAGACCCCACATGATTTCATATTCCAGCATCTCCAGATTGTTATCCCTCCTCTCTCCTAAAGTTGCTGCCTTCCATGGATATTTAGTCCCTTCATTTGAGTGCCCATTGTTCATTTAGAAGCCTGGTGTCATGAATAGCACTGGGGTGGTCAACCATTGGAGAGTGACAATTATACTACTTCTGCCTTCAACTTATGGGCAGTACTGTGGCTCAGTGGTTAGTACTCCTGCGTCACAGCACTAGGGACCTAGGTTCAGTTCCACCCTCGGGCAACTGTCTGTGTTTGGAGTTTGCACATTCTCCCTGTACCTGCTTCCTCCGGGTGCTCCAGTTTCTTCCCCCAGTCCAAAGATGTGCAGGTTAGGTGGATTGGCTGTGCTAAATTGCCTACAGTGTCCTGGGATGTGCAGGCTAGTGGGGTTAGCCATGGGGAATGCAGGGTTACAGGGATAGGGTAGGGCGGTGGATCTGGGTGGGATGCCCTTTGAGGAGTCAGTGTGAGCTGGATGAGCTGAATGATCTGCTTCCCCAACATAGGGATTCCATTAAAGCCACAGATGTACCCAGAGACCTCTGTGTGAGAGTTGAGTCAACAGTTAAGAACGTAAGAAATAGGATCAGGAGTAGGCCATTTAGCCCCTCGAGCCTGCTGTACTATTTTATAAGATCACGGGTGATCTGCCACAGCTCGCACCTCCTCCTTTGTGTCTGTTTGCCTCTTGAGGGGACAAGAACGTTTCCAGCACTGACTGTCTCTGTCTCTCTCTGTGCACCCCTCCAAAAAACAATTACTGCAGTGTTGATGACAGGAGCCCAGAAAATAAACAATTATTGGTGAAGTCACTTAACAATCAACTGAAGATATTTTAATCAGTCCAGTGCTTCGCCTCAAGATCAACGTAAGTTGATAGCAGCAGCAGAATGGGGTCAAACCTCCATCTGTCAAAGATGCAAGTTGCAGGTGTTAGTACGATAACCCCTCGCTGCCCCACCCAAGGTAAACATTAGTGTATGCTGTCTCTCTTAGCCTGGCTTTGAACTTTGAAGGGGAGACAACTTGTTCCAGATCTCCAGCAGCAGTAGCTCTGCCAGCAGTGTAGAGTTCTCCACTGATGAACAGTTGTAGGTACCACCAACCTCTCAACTCCTGAAAAATCAGTTTTTCACTGGCTGTTGATACTTGCTGTCGTGCTTTGCACCGGAAGTAGAGGTGGATGTCTGTTACTGATTTAAAACAAGGCTGGGCAGAAGAAGTTGTGATGTTGTGGATTGTGTTTCTGCGCTAAGGGTCGAGGCAGAGACCTTGACATTGAATTTAGTTTGGTGGATGGAGTAATATGGCAACAGAGTATACGTATAAGTGTAATCAAAACTATTGGTTCACAATGGAGATTAAACACTCAGTCGATCTGGTTGGGCTGAATGGCCTGTATTTGTGTAGTAACTTCAATGTGTTGCTGCGATATCTCTGAATGTGGCAGGAAATGATTCAGTTTTTGAAGAGGATCAAATATCATACACACAGGAAACAGTTGGCTGCAAAAGTGGCCTCTGCCTGACTCATCTGGATGATACACAATGGAAGAAAGACTTGCATTTCTATAGCACCTTCCACACCATAAGGCACCCTTCGCCATTTGAAAGACAAGTGTTTTTTAAGCTGTAGTCATTGTTATGATGTGGGGAGTACGATAGCAAGCTCCCACTAACTCTATTGTGACGCTGATTAGATTTTCTGTTTTTGGCATGGGATCTTGATTGATAGCTAAATATCAAGCAGCGCACTGGTGAAAGTTTTTTTTTATAGAATCCCTACAGTGTGGAAACCGGCCCTTCGGCCCAACAAGTCCACACCAACACACAGAGCATACCACCCAGACCTATCCCCCTAATCTACACATCCCTGAAGACTATAGGCAATTTAGCATGGCCAATCCACCTAGCCTGCACATCTTTGGATTGAGATAAGGAACTGCCGATGTTGGAGAATCTGAGATAACCAGGTGTAGAGCTGGATGAACACAGCAGGCCAAGCAACATCAGAGGAGCAGGAAAGCTGACGTTTCGGGTCTAGACCCTTCTTCAGAAATGGAGGAGGGGAAGGGGATTCTGAAATAAATAGAGAGAGGGTGGGAGGCGGATAGAAGATGGATAAAGGAGCAGATAGGTGGAGAGGAGACAGACAGATCAAAGAGGCGGGATTGGAGCCAGTAAAGGTAGGTGGGGAGTTAGGGAGGGGATAGGTTGGTCCAGGGAGAACGGACAGGTCAAGGAGGCGGGATGAGGTTAGTAGGTAGGAGATAGGGGTGGGGTTTGAGGTGGGAGGAAGGACAGGTTAGGGAGGCGGGGACAAGCTGGACTGGTTTTGGGATATGGTTGGGGGAGGGGAGATTTTGAACCTTGTGAAGTTCACATTGATACCATTGGGCTGCAGGGTTCCCAAGTGGAATATGAGTTGCTGTTCCTGCAACCTTCGGGTGGCATCGTTGTGGCACTGCAGGAGGCCCAGGATGGACACGTTGTCCAAGGAGTGGGAGGGACAGTTGAAATGGTTCGCGACTGGGAGGTGCAGTTGTTTGTTGCGTCTTTGGATTGCCCTGCTTTTCTGTGCGTTGACCGAAAAGGTCAGAGCAGGCATTGGGTCAATGTCTCATTGAAAAGGTAACAGCTCTGACAGTGCAGCATTTCCTTTCTAATGCACTCAGAGTGTCAGGCTCAGTGCTCAGATGTCCAGAGTGGGACTGGAACCCTCCGCTTTATGACTCTGGGGTGAGAGTGCCACTCGCTGAGCTGGTGCTGATACATTGCACACTGTGCTGCACTCCTCACCAGTATCTGGGGAAGGGAGGACATCTGCATTTATATCCTCTTGACCAGGATAGAATTCCTGTTCCTGCTGGTTAGGTTGTATTTCATGCCTGTACCAGGCTGAGGGAGAGGAGCATTCAGACCTGAATACCTTTGTCAAGCAGACTGTTTGTTGAGCTGTTGAAACTCACCTGCAGTTTGGCTGATTTTAACAGATTGAAAGTGAATTCTTGCTTTGGATTTGAGCAGTTTCCATGGAAATTGACCTGCTGTGCACTAAAACTGACATGATGTGGGTTTGTACGATTTAGAAAATTATATTTTTTACATTTATGGAATATACAATCCCCAGTTGCTTACAGGCTTTAAATCACCATTGTTGAGCATTATTATGTGGGCATTAGGAAGGTTCTAGGGCCGAAAAGTCAGCTTTCCTACTCCTCTGATGCTGCTTGGCCTGCTGTGTTCATCCAGCTCTACACCTTGTTATCTCAGATTCTCCAGCATCTGCAGTTCCTACTATCTCTGCAAAGATGAATAGTCTTTTTTTTTAATTCATTCTCGGCATGTGTGAGGTACTGGAAAGAACAGTGTTTATTGTCCATCCCTAATTGCCCTTGAGCGGTTAATAGTGAGGTACCGTCTTAAATGGCTGCAGTCCTTTGGATGTAGGTGCAAGCACAGTGCTGTTAGAGAGGGAGTTCCACAATTTTGACCCAGTGACCGTGAAGGCGTGTGGCTTGGAGGGGAACTTGCAGCTGGTGGTGCACAATAACAACTTGGATTTAACATATACCAAGACATTCTCACAGGATAATTATCAAAAAAACTTTGACACTGAGCTGCATGAAATATTAGGACAAATGATCAAAAGCTGAGTCAAAGAAATAACACTCTAGAAAAACCTTTTACATGACAGCAGAGAGGTGAATAGGTTTAAGGAGATAATTCCAGTGTCCTGGGCCCAGGGAGCTGAAAGTACAGTCACTGAGGCAAATGTTGAAAGCTTTTCTTTTTCT